TTTCCCCCTCCTGTGTCACTGCAGGTGATCTGTGCCCTGGGGTAGGGCTGGACAGGGAAGGGGAAGGGAAAGGTGAGGCCAGGAAAATGAAGGAAGAGGTAAAAATAAGAAGGTGAAGGAAAAGTAAAAAAAAATGAAGGGAAAGGTTAAAAACAAAAGGGGAAAAGTAACGGCGAAGCTCTGCAGGAAAAAGGTAAAATAAGGCTCTGTTTGGGGTAAGGGGGAATAATTCAGGGAATAACGACCGGGCTGGGTAACACTTCCAGCTTTTCCAGCACCTCCAGCCAGTGTTTCCTGCTGCTGGTCCTGAATTAACTCACTTTCTCCCCTCCCTGTGCAGGTTTTGGGGGGTTTGGGTTCAGTTTCCGCTTGGAATGTCCCTGTTGGGGGTGAATTCCCTCTCACCCCTCCACTTCCAGCTGTTTTCTTCCCAAATCCAGACCCTTTGGGGGTGGAAACGCTGCTGGAAGCAGCCGAGGAGCATCAGGAATTGTCTTTACTCAGAAAGTCGAAATACAGCAGGAACTGGGAGGGCTGGAAGTGGTGGAGGAGAGAAGGAATTTGGGAGAAACCGTGTTCTTGGGGACGCCGCCGGGCTGGCTCGGCTGCCTCCCGGCAAAGGCGGGACCTGACGAGCAGAATTAAGGATTTTTAATTCCCAAGAAGCCCGGAGTGGTTTTGTTTTTGTTTTTTTTTTTAAAGCTGAAAACTGCACGTGCCAGGAACTCCGGACGAGGGAAATATTCCTGTCAGTCGGGTTTTTTTCGGGAGAGCTGAGAGCGAGGGCAGCTGTCCGGGGGGATTTTGGTGTCCGGAGAACCTTCACACTCCACGGCCTGGGCTCTTTCTTCCCAGAGCTTGCACTCGAGGCATTAAACAACCCGGTTTTTTTAGGAATAACAGTGCTTTTTGCTGCCTGGAAATGCAACTCCTGTCCCTACAACTCATTCCCCGGATCGGGGGCCAGGCGAGGGGGGGAAAGAAAAAAACCCCTCAAAAATGCTAAAACCCGCAGGGCTGGTGTTCTACACCAAAATACTCATTTTTTAAGCGTGTTTCTGAGGCATTAACGACGCTGGTGCTCCGGGGGGGGTCCGTCGGTGTCGCGACCAACAATAAAAAAGTGCCTGTTTGGAGTTCGCCTGGTCGTGTCCTTCCCTCCCACCTCAGGGCTCTGTGACCCATCCCAAAGGTTTTCACCCCAAAACAGCTGCAGGGAGCACACTTACTTCAGTTTTAAATTCAAAAAAAAAAAGCAAAACACGTTTTTGAGGTCAAACCCCCCCGAGAAAAGGGTTTTTGAGGTCAAACTCTCTTCAAAAAGAGGTGGTTTTGAGGTCAAACCCCTCCGAAAAAAAGGTGTTTTTGAGGTCAATTCTCCCTGATAAAGCAGTCTTTGGAATCGTTTCCCTTGGTTCCTTGTCAGAGGAGAATCTTACCGCTGAGCTCCTCTGCTCAGGTCCCCCCGGGACTTCCCTCAGGTGTGTCCCCTCAGGTGTGTCCCTTCAGAGGGGTCCCTCTCCGGGGGTTCCCTCAGGTGTGTCCCGTCAGGGGGGTCCCCTCAGGTGTGTCCCCTCAGGAGGGTCCCCTCAGGGGGGTCCCCTCAGGTGTGTCCTCTCCAGGGGTTCCCTCAGGTGTGTCC